TGCTCCAGTGATGTCGGAGGGCCAAGATTCCAAGAAGATTGAAGACCAGATTGAAGAGTTGAAACAACAGGTGGCAGCTATGCAGAAAAAAACAAACAACAGGTGCTTTGCTTGCGGAGGAACCGGTCACTGGCAGAGAAACTGCCCGAAAAGAAGGCAGAAAAACCTTAAACGATACAGTCTTCCTTCTTTTTCTCGCTCGCGTTTAGAGGTGGTCGGGTTGGTCGAAAGAGGTTCAGTGTACGGGAGATTACGAGTGAACGAAAAAGAAATAGTTTGTTTGATCGACACAGGGGCGGCAGTTTCGTTGATAGGTAGAGAACAGTGTAAGGAAATAAGGCCGTGCACATTAGCAGTTCAGACGGTAGGAGGACATCCGTTGCACATTCTTGGCGTTTCAGACTGCGTTGTAGAGATTGGAGCAGGAAAAATACGATATCCGTTTATTGTAACTTCTGATATAAGACGAACGATTTTGGGAGCAGACTTTCTCAGAGAAGTAGGAGCTGTAATCGATATGAAGAATAGAAAAGTGGTCACAAAACACGGGCAATTCGCGATACATGAGAATAGTGAAGTCGCTGAGGTGGAAACCACAACCATTGTTCAGCAAGAAGCACCACGTCTAACCACGTTGATGAGTAAATATGCCGGTTTATTCACTAGTGATGGAGACCCATACGGTTATTGTGATAAGGTAAAGCATAACATCCCACTGAAGGATACGGGGAAGACAGTCTTTTCATCGCGACGAGTTCCGGTTCACCTTGAAGAAGAAGTTAACCGACAAGTCAGAGAAATGTTAAACGACGGAATAATCGAAGAAGCCGACAGTCCGTACAGTTCGCCAATCCTTTTGGTGAAGAAAGCTAACGGGAAATATAGATTTTGTGTCGACTTCAGACAGCTGAATAGCCTCACCGAAGTAAAACAGTGTGTAATGCCTACCGTAACAGAAACTCTTGATCGCCTTCATAAAGCCAAGTTATTCACCGTGTTCGACCTACGATCGGGTTACTGGCAAATCCCAATAGCAGAAAGTGATCGAAGTAAAACAGCTTTCACAGTCGGGCAGAAACAATACCAGTTTAAACGAATGCCATTTGGATTGGTAGGTGCCCCATTTACCTTCAGAAGATTAATGACCTTATTACTGAAGGGTCTGAAGAACGTAGAAGTATATGGAGATGACTTGGTGGTGTATAGTGAGACAGAAAGCGACCATATAGACCACATCGAAGCTATCTTAAAGAGAATTGATGACTTTGGACTGCGTATTAATAAGCACAAGTCCCAAATAGCTAAAAACACGGTTGTCCTCCTGGGTTACAAAGTGGGAAATGGCGAAATACGGCCATTGCCGGAGAAAATCCTGACGGTCAAAACCAGCGAAGTGCCAAATTCAAAGCGAAAGCTGAGACAGTTTTTGGGAAGAGCGGCATTCTACAGCCGATTTGTCAAAAATTTCAATGAGATAGCTAAACCGCTATATACGTTGCTGAGTGACGCGAAATTCATGTGGACGGCAGAGGCACAGCAAACGTTTGAGCGAATTAAAGAGCTGTTAGATGGTCAACAGATGACGTTGAAACTGCCAGCGCCGGGGAAGCAGTTCACAGTTTCGACAGACGCCAGTGATTATGGTATAGGTGCTGTTTTAAGACAAACAGATGGGGTTGTTGAATACGCTAGCCGTGTGTTGACACTTGCAGAACAGAAGTATTCTACGGTGGAAAAGGAGTGTTTAGCTATCGTATGGGCACTAGAAAAATGGAGACCATATCTGATCGGCCGCCGATTCCACATTGAGACCGACCACAAACCTCTTCAGTGGTTGAAAACAGCACGGGATCCACGAGGGAAGTTATCACGATGGATGTTACGCCTACAAGAGTATGACTTCACGATTGGACATATTCCAGGAAAAGAAAATGTAATAGCTGACTATTTGTCGAGATCAGATAATGAGACTGAACTACCAGAAGTAGCGTATGCAGTAAACGCTTTGGAGCAAGATCCCTTACAACTTGTTCGCCACCAGAAGTCGGATCCTACTCTTAAGACAGTCATGCAGATGATACGTGAAGGGAAAGAAATTGAAATGGCAGCAGAGAATAAAGAGTTAAAGATGCTACTGCAGCAAAAACATAGACTCAAACTAAACGCTGCCGGCGTCCTAACTTGGAAAGACAGTGATGGTAGCTGGGTTACAGTGATACCAAAAAGCCTTCGTCGTGGGGTCATTCAAGAATGCCACCAACTAGCCCATACAGGAGTTACACGAACATACGACCTAGTGAGCCAAAGTGCATACTGGCCAAACATGAGAGGCGATATTGCAAACTACGTACTCGCTTGCCCACAGTGTCAATTGATGAAGGGTGATCGGTGCATTCGACCGCAGCTACAAACGATACCCGTAACGGCGGTTGGTGACTTATGGTCCGTGGACATAATGGGTCCTTTCCCTCAGACAGCAAGTGGAAATCAATACATTTTAATGATGACGGAACACGCCACGCGGTGGGTAAATGCTGTAGCGATTCCAGATCAGCGCGCCAAGACCGTAACCGAGGCCGTCATTCGACATATTGTGGCGGATCATGGTGTACCGAAAATGATATTGACAGATCAAGGCCCCTGTTTTGAAAGTGAGGAGTTCAAGACTCGTCTGGAGGCACTGGGTATTAAGAGGATTAGAACGACTCCGTATCATCCGCAGACAAACGGCTTAACCGAAAGGAACAATCGTACACTCAAGGAGTGGCTAGCTGCGAAAAGAGGCAACTGGGAAACTGACTTACCGTTGGTATTACTAGCACATCGTGCCACAGTACAAGGGACAACAAAAAAGTCGCCTTTCCAGCTGATGTATGGGAGGAAACCACGCTTACCGGTGCACCATAAGACTTGGCCAACACAACAAAAATGGAACAGTAAGAGATGGACAAATGAGCGGAAACAAGCTATTCAGAATATACAAGAGAAGCGCAAGAAAGACATCGAAAATTATGGCAAGAAACAAATCAAAGCTTGGAAGCTGTTTGAAGTAGGTGACCAGGTGAAATGTAGAGAACGAAAGTATACTACCGGAAGTGGACCAGGATCAGGAAAGCTTCTGCCGAAGTGGGAGGGACCATATGTGGTCACATCGAGACGCGGTCCAGTGTACACAATAAAGAGAGGAGATAAAGAGAAAAGAGTAAACGCCAGTCTGCTACAAAGATGGAGAGAAGAATGTCAAGATGAGGTACCAGAAGAGCAGCAGGAAGAAACGTCTGTGCGGCGATCAAGGCGGTTACAGGAGAGACTTTATAATGAGGGGGCGAGTGTGGTGAGTGCTACTTATAATCCGATATAAGTAGTATATCAGGAACGAAGTAACAACATGTTTGGCACACCGAAAAGAGCAATCAAAGAAGAGAACCATGAGAAGAATGTTGCCATATGATGCAGAATCCAAGAAGCTATCGAATGAGACGATATTCGACCAATTCGTCAAGGATGTGGTGAAGATGTGCAAATGGCCGGTTTAGAATATGGTATTCCAAATTTAGCTATGTACCATACGTTTCACCAAATAAACAATCCTTTCAGTCTCCTCAGTCTTGTCTTCTTCACAGGGCTAGTAAAATGCCAGGTTCCAGCAGTTTATAACCATAGGAGTTGTCTGAAGATGGCGTTGTAAGGCTTGTCCAGTCAACTGTTGGGGCGTTGAAGTCGCCGACTACGAGACTTCGACATCTCGGTGTCCAGGAGCCCAGATTCTCTATTAGGAAGTCTTCTACACTGCAGTCAGGGCCGCGGCACATAGCAACGAAAAGACGTAACAGCTGATTTACTGTAGAGTCACACTTTTGGCAGGTTTTATACGAGCCGTGCAGGGTTATGCCTGATACTGTAGTCGGCAGTGGCCTATCTAAGATGGGCCTGACCTAGTTAAGGTCATGCTGAAACCTGACCTTGGGATCGGAAGCCGGTGATTCTTCCACTTTGTGGAGAATGTGCGACCTGTCAGACAGATAAGGTTTGCTTGTCGTGGCTTTCTTGCTGTGCGGCGTAAATGTCTTTCTGTCCTTCGTGAACAGTGAGGCCATTATATTTTCCTTATCTCGCTCTTTGCGAGACACCACATTGCGCCATTCTTTAGCGTCCTCCTCGCTAATCGTAGCCGATTTTGTCTGCATGCTATCCACCGGTGTGGATGAGGCCTGATCTACAAGTCTCTGGGCGAATTGAGCTGTGGGTTTTCCACCCCTGGTACTCCTCTTCTTCGTGCCAATCTTTCCACTACTGGGGGCTTATCCAGTATCGTAGGGGCAGCATGGGCGTCTGGAATATAGTGGGTGCCTTTGTGTGCTGAAGAGCAATCACTCCCTGACAGAGGCGCATCAGGAACGTGAATCACCTTCTCGATGACGCCAGCCACGTCATGGGTGTCTTAGCGGTAGTCGCTCTCCCGTGGTGGAGGACCTTTGCAGTCCACGAACTTTAGAGCCGCACTGAGAGTGGCAGTGGCTTCCGTAATACGAAACTTAGTCGTACTTCAGCAGTCATTGCACAGCCAAACAGCCAGAAGTTTGCAGCAGCACTTGTATTCTGGAGTTAGGTTTGTGTACATGCTGTGAAACCATCTCTTGCACCTGTCACACTACATTTCTCCTTCAACTCGGAAATGACGCATAACTCTTCCGCAGCGGTTTCTTTTCAGAAGCATACTTTTCAGAGTAAACTGGGACTAGAAGATTCAAATACGACCTAATATATATGACCTTTATGTAAATCAGTGTTATAGACTTTTGGAGAGCATAACAATAAAAGCCGAAATTAAAGAAGACCGTGTAAAATTCACCCTCTTTTCAAAGTTCGCAACGTAGCGTGTTTATTTAAGGAAATATTTGAGAAAATCTCCACTAGTCGTATGTCAGTAGAAGGTTTTGGTTTCCTAGTTAATCAGGATTCGCCCTAATTATTGAACATGTACACATTTGTTTGTATCAGTATAATCACTGCCCTTGCGTCCCTTTCGAATGGCAATTTAATTTGCTTTGTGTTCGATGCATTATCCTCGTTATCTAGCAAATTTGGATATTTTATTACATTTGGAATTAATTGTAAGATAATTTGCTGAGGCTGAAAATTTAAACGAAGCCTTTACGTCCATCAAAAGTCAATAGCAATGAGCTTGACATCCAGGATTACTGGCGGTGCTAGCTCAGGTGTGAACCATAATGCTGCAAATCCAGGGCCAAAATTGTCAGGGAACTTTCCGCCTGCTACTCAAGATGCAGCTCCATCCAATGCAGCCGCCAATCACACTACAAGCTCCACACGCTGTTCTAGTGGTGCTCTAATGAGCTTACTAAATAGTGGATTATCTGTTCCTCGTCAGATGATGGTGCAAGCCCGGGGTGCCCAAGACAACCAGCATATTCCCATACATCTTAGTTTCATTGGGACTATTGGACAGGGCACTTTTGGGCAGATTGAACGTGCAAGTCTAACTGTTTCCACAACTGCTAATCAAGGCACACCCGGTAAAAAGAACTCAGACGGTAGCAGCCTTCCTGATGGAGGACAAACTCTGCAGGTTGCAGTGAAGCGTGTTTTGCAAGATCCCCGGTATAAAAACCGTGAGCTAAGCATCATGCAACGACTAAATAATCACCCTAATGTTGTTAAATTTTACTACTATTACTATTCAACGGCATCTTCGAATAGTCGAAGTCACAGAAGTGGCAGCGGACGTACGAGCTCATCTACATCTGGTGTTGATGTGTTCCTCCATCTCGTACTGGAGTGTTTCCCTGAAAGTCTGTGTGAGCTGATATATCGTTATTCTCAGAGGAATCTAAAAATCCCAGCTTGTACAGTAAAGGTCTTCACCTACCAGATGTTGAAGGCTTTAGCTTACCTACATAGTCATCAGATTTGTCACCGCGATATCAAGTCATCAAATCTCCTAGTCAACGAAGAAACCATGGTGTTAAAAGTTTGCGATTTTGGAAGTGCCAAAGAAATGGTGCCAGGGACTGCCAATGTTTCCTATATATCATCTCGGTAAGTTGAAAATGGTGTTTCACGTGTGCCTTTGAGTTTTCGTGAAAGTTATCTTTCGTTTTATGTTGCTCTTATTCTGTATATGCAGTAGGAGTGTTTGAGCATTGCCAATCCTTTCAATTTTTTTTACTTAATCCCACGAAAATAATGTCCTGTTTAATTCACTGCTAGCTTGCCTGGTTTCAGTCTGATATATTGCAGTGTCGTCCTCATTTTAATTTAATGTTTCATTATTAGGAATCTGTACAATTCCACTGGTCTGGTTTACATATCTGTGGGAGAACTCTGCTCAAAGGAAGTTTGGATCTTGCTCCTTCATAAAATAGGAATAAGCTTCTGATGCTAGGATAATGTAATTACAGCAGGACTGATAGTTGTGCTTATGTAATGCTCATAAAATAACTCGTGGAACTAAAACTGGAGTTACGCATAACAGAATTTACATATGACGAGTGTTATTTTGTTATGTAAACTTAACATTCATCTACTAATTGTGATATTTGCCTTACGTTTTGGAATCCTCGGGATTTCACTACGATAACTTGATTATTAGTCCCGAGGGTGTAGGGGACTTAAGAGCGAGCTCGGTAACGGAATAAATATTAGAATTTAAAATTCAGGTTAGTGAAATGATAGTATAACAGTATATTATAAAAAATGCAGTTTACGAATTAAAATTAATGGTCACTTCGTGATACAGTTAAAGTCCACTGCTACAAATTATTAATGTAGTCCACAGAAATGTTCATTTCTGGATTCGTGTCTACTAGTAGAAGCTGTGCACCGGTTGTAGAATAGTTTTCGGATGAGGATGCAACGCGGTTAGTAGTGAAGCAAGTAGACAGCACAGACCAGTGAGAAGAGGAAGCGTCGAGCAGCACACCGTGCTTTAGATTGTACTCCGAAGTAATGTATAGTTTACAACGAATCATTTTAAACAAAAGTGTGCAATGTTTCCACAAGCTGCACAATCATATTGTGCTAGACTCTACAAGGGTCTCGTCCTTTGGTGTTGCAGGGTATGAAAGATACAGTTGTTAAATGAGGGCTGATAACATTACCTGGTTGCCCAGGCTGAAGTAGGTAGAGTGGGATATCAGTCCGTGACCTACTGACTGAAAGCCTAGTGCTTAGGTAAATGAGCCACATCTTCACGGTGTCAACCTTGATTAAAACTCAACTACTCGGGACAGACTCTCTATGTATCATGTCATTGGCCATGCTTACGTTGTGAAAGTTGATTGTGGTAACCAGTTGACCTTGGTAAAGCAGGCAAAGCATACCCAAAACTCGCTGGTTGATATTCGGGTGCTTTACCTAATGAACCATTTCTCCACCAGTGGTAATATAATCATATTTTTAGTGAATATCAAGTGTATTATGTTCATCTATTTAAATATTACAACCAGTAATGTCACTTCAGGTAACCGAAGTTTCGAAAACATGTATCATCGGGTATGAACATCTACCACTGCTGTTATTGCAACCTGTACCCTTCCAAATTTTTATGGCCAATTTAAAATGGTGCTGGGTTGAAAGCTCGTCATTGAAAAAATGATTGATGTGGAATCTAAAAAGATGCAACGGTTGAGTCGCTATAGAAATAAAGCACAGTGACTATGTAACAAAGTTTTAAAACACCGAAGTAGGTATCTGTACCAATTTTTAATCTTGAAGATGACAACAATTATGTAATCAAAATCTTAGGTCATTTCAGCTAGTCATAATGGATGAATATTAAAAGTAGGTTCGTGAATTTACTGGAGATTATAACCCTTTTGCATGCGAAGTCCAAGAGTTTAATTGACGGTTTTTATTATTAGTTCTAGGAATTCAGATAAAGTATCTTCATGCTCTAAGCTTATGTGGTGTGGTGCACATTAGTATACACACTGAACTTCATATTGCTATTTGGTATTACAAAATATCACATGCATATTGAGTAAAATAGAGACCGAACAGTGAGTCATATATATATATATTATTCACAAATGTTATTTCTGAGCCATATCATCATAATTCTCTAGCCATATTTTTCAGTTGTTAGGGATTCTTCAGTCTATAAATCTACACTTTCTTACATGTTTCAGAACGGGAATTACTAGCTGTATGGTTTAATATTATGTCTTGAACAGATCTTTCCCGTGCTTACTTCCTGACTGATATCACTTCGTCTAACGTTTCATCTTTCGGTAGAGTTTGCGTAACATGTGCATGTGTTTATGTGCTACCTGACCCATGTTTTGCTTTCAGTTATTTTTCCTTCAATACTAAGAGCTTTTTTCCTTACTACATGAGTTTTTGTTATGTAGCTCATTGGCTTAAGCTCTCCACTTTCAGATAAAGGATCCCAGATAATGACCCTGCTGAATTTACTACAGCCTGGCCAACTGGTATAGTTTAGTTAGCCCTTGCACGGTACTAAGTTTCACCACAAAGGTAGACAAAAGAAAACAGACTGAGAGAACTATAATAAACAGAGATGTGACGGAGAAAGAATAACATGGGGAAAGATGACGGTGCAGTGAATATAGGAAATCACAAGGACTGAATGTATCTGAGCCATTGAGAACGATTTTCAGCGACATCTCTATTAGTCTACAGCCACTGGACACTTCCAACCAACAGTTAAGCATTTCATGGACTGATTCCAGATTTTGGTTTGACCACCACTCTATCCTACCCTTATCATTTGTCAGCTAACAATGTTCATCGAGGAAAGCGATGGCTTGGCATGCCTGACACATGGCCTAGACAACCTAATCGATTCTCTTACCCCCCTTACCTAGTGCTCTACATCCAACTTGAATATTACCATATCACACCACCTAACATGGGAGACTGAACGCAAACATCTTTGGTAAAATATAGCTAGCCTTTCCATATCTTACACTTTCAATGGCCATGTGTCAACCATTAAGGAGGACAAAGCTACCTCCTGCCTTGTATAATAAGTGTGAACTGCTAGGTGAGAGGTCTGTTCCGTGTAACTGAGTTCTGTCAATAAGAGTAATATTGATTTACACTCTATACAAGTATACTCGCGCGTATATTTTCCTGTCATATTACTGATAAGACCCTCAGCTTGTCCATGAATTTATTAAGCTGCTTTTGGCATTATCCGATATATATATATATATATATATATATATATATATATATATTCTACTCTAATGTACTCTCCAATGGAAATATTTCTTTCGCTAGTGATTTGCGTTAATTTTTATTACTTTGTAATAGTTCGAGTAGTCACGTGATGGTAAAAATCACATCAGTGTAGTTGGCTTGCTTTTATTTCATTCTGAAGTAGATGATTTAGCAAGTTAAATAATGGTGGACATTATCTTAGCTTTTATTCTTGCTTGAACTCGTTTACCCGGAACATATCCTTCACGGACCTGACTGAAAGCCGCATTCGTGTGAATGCTGATGATACCTTATAGTTGCCCAGACAAAAGTCCGATAACCGTTAGTTGAGAACCTAGTACTTAAGACAGTGAACACCATCTCCAACTGATTTTTCGTAAAGTCTTTTACTTCTCAACTTTAAAAAATGAATTGCATCTGGACACTTCTTGCCTACTGATGTAGATGTTAATGCAAAGGTATATTTAGTGTATACTGCACTTTAAATATAACGATAATCCACCACGAGGAAGGTGTAGCAGTTTTATTTACTTAACACTGAGGAATGTGTTTACAGGCTAATTATAGATAGGTTTTTATCAATGCTAGAAACCAACATTTTAAAGCATCAGGAAAGTTACCAATTGACAAAATACGAGTCTGTACACTTGCTGTTAAGTTTGCAAATATACGTAGTCTTTACGTGGTTCATTCCCTACATAGTTTTCAGGGCAGTTGGTAATGGGGGTATACAAGACTGTCAGAAAGGTTCATGCATGTATGTGTATATAGGAGATCGAGTGCAGTTTGGACCATAATTTTACGAAGTTACACAATTCAGACACAATTTGTTAAATATGGGTGATGATTAGCAATGATTCCCACCTTGCCAAAATATTTTATTTGGAAATTCACCTTAACAATAACTGCACGAAATTAATGAGAATAAGATACAAATTCTCTGTTTCATGCTAAACAGCTCACTTTACCCAAAGAATAAAAACAGAAACATTCATAACTTAGATGTTTGACTAGTTTACTTACTGACAGATATTATTATTATTCCCTTGGGTTCAAAGTGAAATGTAGGACTTCAACAACACAACTCACTTTGTTCTATTTTCTGCCGTCGTCTTCAGTTAGTTCTACGATTGCCCATAATCTCTTATCTCCTCCTCCCCATACGATCTCCTCCATGTCACCCTCACACCGATGACCCACTTATCGCTTCCAGTTGGGATTCCACTCAAGTGATGGTCTGCATTGTGTGCGATGTCATTCGACGTTCTCCTTAATATATACCCTATCCATCTCCACTTTCTACATATTTGTTGAGCAATCGGCTCTGGGTTGGTTCGTCACCTCCCAGAGTTTCTTGTTGCTAATTCTCTGGTCATTTGATCTTCAGTATGGAGCCAGCGAAGTGGTCAGCTGTTGATAAAAGTTTGTAACCTGTTGGAAATGGTTTTCGTGACACGCAGTGCAAGTTTCTGACCCGTATAGAAGGACCGACTTCACATTTGTGTTGGAAATCTGAGTGTTATTCTTTATGCTGGCTGAGTGCAGAAGATTTCCAAACTGGTTTAAGGTTGATGAAGGCGTACTGATAGATGTAGATAAGTAGATAAGCTCACAGCATTGACTTTGTTATGAGATTGGTGTAGTTACACCACCGCATTTAAGGCATTTATTCTCTTGGTTTGTGCGTCGGTGGCATAGCGGTTAGGACGCTCGCCGACCATGCACGTGGTCCGGGGTTCAATCCTCGGCCGACGCACTCCTCGCTAAGCCAGAAGTAATGCTAAGGAAAGGTTGGGCATGAGGCTAGCAACCCCATCCTGTAAAATAAACACTACCACAGAAACTTCAAGCCA